ACTTCCGGGCCCATGGGAGACATGGTGGGCGGGGCCTGTGGAAACCACGCCCCTTTCTTGACTCGCACTTCTCGGCGCCAGGCACCACCTAGCGGATCCCAGGGCCTGCCCAGGCGGCCACGCCCATCAGGACACGCCTCTTGGTGACGTCACTTCCTGGCGGGCGGGGCGGGGCGGGGCGGGCCCGGGCGGCTGTCCGGAGCGCTCTGGCTCCGGGTGGTTCTGCTCCACCGCCCGCCACGTCCTCACGCCGGACCGGGACCGCGGGCGCCGCACGCCGCCCGAGGGCCGCCCGGCCGCCGCAGGCCCGCCGCGCCCGGGTAAGAGGCCTGCGCTGCCGTCGGGATGCTGTGGCCGCGGCCGCCGGGACGGGGGCTTGGGGCGGAGGGAGGGAGGTGAGGGGCTGGAGAATGAATGGGGCACGGGAGGCAGAGCAGGGCAGGAAGAGAAGACGTGAGTGGGGGCACAGGGTGCCAGGGGATGAGGATGGGAGGTGTCCACTAAGAAACGTCCAAAACCTATAAGGGATTTTCTGAGTTTACGCGAGCCAAACTGGTGACAGTTGCTGGGAAGCAAAATCCCCCGGAGTTGAGAACATGCTCTGGAGGAGGGCAGTTTGCAGCTGAAAGGAGGAGACTTGAGGAGGGTCACATGGGATTCATCGTGGGTAGGTGAAGGGGGCAGGAGAAAGCAAAGCGGGGGGAACGTCTGGGACCGAAGGAAAAGTACACGGGACAGACACAGACGGACTTGTAGGCCGGTGGGCGCAGGCTGGCCGGTTACCATTCACTCAGACCGTGTTCGGGCAGCAAGATCACAAGGAGGGTTCTGTGTTCCGGCGGGTGGGTGTGCCCTGAGTTGTCTGGGAAAGGGAATGGCTCTGACGCTCCGTAGGTGTGTAGCTTGGATGTAAAAAAGAGTAGACCGGCTCACTTAAAGCAACGGGTCAAGGAAACTACAGGCCTAGCACATGCCGCCGCCATAACCCGCTTCTGGTTGGGGATTTTTATGTTCAGACCATCCTGTGTGGTTGCTTTCAGTTTCTGAGTTTGTGGGGCCTGCAGGTGCTGGCCTCCCCTGAGCTTGTCAGTTTCAGTATGGGGGTCCCCTTTTCCGCCACACTGACAAGGAATGGGGGGAGAGGAAGGAACAGAAGGAATCGGTTGGGAGCTAAGATTCCAAAAGGAGCATGGATGGGGGCCCCCCAGAGAGGCAGGAAGCAGGGGATCCCAAACCAGAGAAGAGAGTCCCAGGCTGTTCAGTTGGGGAGCAGCAGATGGGAACGTTGGGATACTCCCGTGTAGGCGGGGGCACGGAAAGGTCCTCCAAGGGCAAGAATGGGCCCGGGGAGTGTTCTACCTGGGAGGGGCTGTACTTTTCCATCTATTTACCTCCCTCCTCCGTGTGGGTCTGGTGGCTGCTTAAAGTGTGTGCATTTAACTGTTAGGCTGAAGTGAGGAGTCAGCATCCACCACGTTTGCCATCTAACATGGATGTGGCACTTACCGTTCTGCCTATAATGTCCTGTTTTCTCCCCAAAGGAAACATCTCTAAAATTTCAATAAATCGGCAAGGAAAGTACTTAAAATACCGATTCTTCTGCTTATGTGCCAAACTTGCCAAGCAGGCTGCCGATCAGCATTTCATTGTGATATCAAAACTTTCAGAAACCCGGAAGCAATCGAGGTCATTAAGATAATATCCACTGCTCCGGGTCCCCGTGTGCCACGGGGACACAGCCCTTGGACCACAGGACAATGTCTAAACACACAACACCACACGCCTGTGTCCGTTGGGTTCTGTTATCAAAGTCCAGCCAGATGGCGTGTCAAGATAGGGCTGCCCTGTGGCTCAGTGGATAGAGCGTTGGTCTGTGGACTGAAGGGTCCCAGGTTCGATTCCGGTTAAGGGCATGTGCCTCGGTTGTGGGCAAATCCCCAGTAGGGGGTGTGCGGGAGGCAGCTGATCGATGATTCTCTCTCATCGATGTTTCTAACTCTCTCTTCCTCTCTGTAAAAAGTCAATTAAAAAAAGAGAAAAAGATAGGGCTGCTCTGTGTTTGCTCTCACAGCCCCTACTCCTTGGTCTGTATAGTTTTCCCAGCTTGGTGTAGGGACTGGGGTCATGTCACTGCTGCTAAGTCAGTATTGCCAGAGCCATGGAATGTGGGGTAACAGGTGTAGACCCTTGCCAAGCCTGAGGATTGCTGTGTTGGGTCTTAGGAGCCTGTGTTAAGCCAAAAAAAAGAATCAAGCGTGTTGCAGTCCGATTTCACGTGACTTGCACGCAGCACCCTGCATCGAACAAAGAGGTTCGTAAAAGAGTTTAAAACCAAGCCGAGGTTGGGAGCACAAGTCATCGGAGACAGGAGGTGTTGAGAGGCGTCACAAGGTCAAGGGCCAGAACAGGATCAGGAAGTTGACATCAAGAGCCGACTGGGGCCGAAGCCGGTTTGGTTCAGTGGATAGAGCGTCAGTCTGCGGACTGAAAGGTCCCAGGTTTGATTCCAGTCAAGGGCATGTACATTGGTTGCAGGCACATCCCCAGTAGGGAGTGTGCAAGAGGCAGCTGGCCGATGTTTCTCTCTCATCAACGTTTCTAGCTCTCTATCCCTCACTCCTTCTCTCTGTAAAAAATCAATAAAATATATATTTTTTTAAAAGAGCCGTCTGAGGCTCCGTTTTTAAAAACAAAATAAAACTGTTTATTGATTTTCAAGAGGAAGGGAGAAAGAGAAACATCAATAATGAGAGAGAAATCACTGATGGGCTGCCTCCTGCATGCCCCCTACTAGGGATCAAGTCCGCAACTCAGACATGTGCCCTGACTGGGAGTCCGACTGTGACCTCCTGGTTCCTAAGTCAATGTTCAACCACTGAGCCAGGCCGGCCAGGCATGGGGCTGCCTTTTGGATGGAGTGACGCCTGGCTCCTGGGGTTACTGCCTCTTCTCTGCAGAACTTGTGGGAGCTGACCCCTGAAAAGCTGACTCCCAGCACCAGCATCATCTGTCTTTCCGTCTGCCCTGGTCTCCCTCCCACTCAATCCTAACTTCATTCCTTCTTGCTATGTCCCTCTGGCCCAGGGGTCTCTTTACGGAGTCTGAGAGCTTGATCTGTCGAGTCTCTAGTAAAGGAGAATAACCGGCCTGACCCTCTTTTAAGGTTCACGGAAGCCTTTGCAGGGGAAACTGCTGTTTTCAATCTTATGAATGGCTTGTCTACTCTGAGTCAGATTAGCGCAGGACCCCACAAATTAATCCTGACACTGCGAGTAGGCCGCTGGAAAGCGGAGGCAGGACCATACCAGAGGGATGAAGTCACGGCTCAACAAGGGCCTGTTCTGGACTCTGCGCCGCGGCCAGTTCCCGGTTCCGTGGGAGGGACCTGCAGTCCCACCGGCTCGGAGGGAGCGGGCAGCGATGGTGCCCGGCAGAAGTTAACGGAGAATCTTGTGGAATTGCCTGATAGAGCCTGATAGACATGCTCCGTGTGTGCACTGGCCTTGTGTGTGTAATTGTGTGAGTGATTGTACACATGCATGGGTATGACTGCATGTGTATGCCTGTGGCAGTGTGCTCGTTTGTGTAGCTGTGTGTGACTGGATATGCAAGCAGCTATGTGCACGCATGAGTGACTGCGTGCTCACATGTGTGTGCCTATGCATGTATGTGTGTATGTGCATAGGTGGGCATTTGTGTGAGGGAGTGGGCCCACGATAGTCCTCAGGCATCCCCACTTGCTAACGGCAGCCACGGTAGGAGGTGATGAGTTCATGTCCCGAGCTTGCATGAATTACTCACGATGGGAGGGTCATTTATGCTGATCAGTATCTTTGCATTGCTGTCATATCCCTGGGTTCCTCTAAGGTTTGGTTGGCTCTTAAAAAAAAAATTCATCTCCTGTCATGTAAATGATAGAGTTTGTCTAAATTATAAAATCCGAGGGACCCCAGTCCCTACTCCAAGCTGGGAAAACTATACAGACCAAGGAGTAGGGGCTGTGAGAGCAGACACAGGGCAGACCGAGGACACCTATCTTGACATGCCATCTGGCTGAACTTTGACAACAGAACCCAACGGACACAGGCGTGTGGTTTTGTGTAGATAGACATTGTCCTGTGGTCCAAAGGATGTGTCCTGTGGAAACTGTATCAGTTGGGCCTGGAAGCTCAAATTACTTGAAGAAAATCAGACATTATATATATAGCAATATATGTGTGTGTGTGTGTGTGTGTGTGTGTATTTGATTTTAGAGAGGAAGGGAGAGGAAGAGAGAGACAGAAACATCAATGATAAAAGAATCATTGATTGGCTGCCTCCTGCACACACCCAGGCATGTACCCTTCAGTCCGCAGGCGGACGCTCTGTCTATTGAGCCAAACCAGCTAGGGCCAGACATTGCTTTCTTTCACTGGAGACTTTCAGAGAGTTTCCCAGAAGTGATACAAGCTTGTTAAAAAAATAAATAAATAAAATCTGAGTATAAAATGAAAGTCACCTGTAAATCTGTTCCCTAGGGATAACCATTATGAACTTTATGGTATTAAATCTTCCCAGACCACTTGACCATTCCTGCTTAGACAAAAACAGGATCGTGGTGTGTGTTCTGTGTGTGACCTGCTTGTTTCACTTCATGTTCCATGCTGGGCATCTTCCCATGGCAATAAGTAGACATCTGTGTGTGTTTTAATGGCTGCCATAGCATTTTATATGTGGATGGGGCCGTGTTTTACGTGACCATTCCGATTTTTTGCCATTATAAATAGCGCATCGATGAACATCTTCACGATCTCCACGTTGTACACCTGTCCAATCGCTTCCTGAGAAGGAGTTCGGGCAGGAGACAGTGCTGCCCCCAAGCCGTGCCAGGGAAAGTTTTTGATACACAGTCTCCTTTTCCCAGCTGACTTGCCGAATGCTGCCCATTGGGTGCCTCCCTCCTCATCGACTGTTCTCCTCCTGCGTTTCCTAACAAGTGTTTTCTCTTCTCCAAACCCTAGATGCGACAGTTACCAGGCCGGAGCATCGGCCCGTGTTCCGCAAAGCATGCCGTGGCCCGGGAGCGCCCCCCGCAGCTGCGCTCACCTGCAGAGCCGGACCGCGCCTGGCCAGCACGCCGCGCCAGCCCGCAGCCCTCCGAGCGGGACGATGGCCCTGAGCGCCCGCCCCTGGTGAGTGTCCGAGGGCCGGGTCCCCTGCTGGGGACGCACAGGGAGCTCGGAGGGGACCGTGCAAGCTCAGGGAGCCTCCAGGGGAAGGAAAGACAGGCAGGCCCAGAGGCCTGAGCCTCCCAGGATCCAGGAGGGGCCCGGACTGTGGCTCCTCACATCAGAGGTTCTGCCCTGTGAGGTTCTGCCTTCGGAGGCCCTCCAGGACGGGACAGGTGGGCGCCGTGGGGTCGTCTGCGGCCTTCGTCTGTTTCTGGGAGACAAACGTGTCTCCACAAAAGGCCCTCGGCTTGTGTCGCCGTGCCGTAACGTGTGGGAGCTCCCGTGCACAGCACCTCGCTGACGCCGCGGTGAGGTGGGGGGGGGTCCTCCTGGCAGGAGCGGCTCTGGGAGGACACCCGTCCCAGGACGGGAGGGAGACGGTCCCCGCCTGGCCCAGGGCAAGGCGGGGAGGAGGAAATCCGTTCGGCACATCGATCAGCCTCTCCCTGCACCTAAGAACCCGACATTCACTGCGCGAACGGGCTGCCTGCCACCTGGCTCTGCAAACACCGTTTTAGTGGGGCCCGGCCGCGCCCATCGGGCACAGATCCTCCGCGGCCGCGCGGCCCACAGAGCCTCAAACATTTGCTGTCCAGCTCGTCACAGGAGCTGTTTGCCAGCTCTGCTCTAGGGGTCTGTAGCGAGGGCACATCGAGCCTGAGGCCCGGGGTGCATCCAGGAAGCCCTGGCACCTCATCCCACCCCAGGGGACCCAGCCCCGGGCTCAGGCGCAGGGCCACGCATGCCCAGATGTGACTGGCCGGGGAGAGCTGTCTAAATGCACTCATTTACCGAGAGCCCAGCTGCACGGCCTCGGCAGATGGGGGGGTGGATGAGCGAGTTCTTTCCTGCCCGGGACCTTCACTCCGATTCTTCCCTCTCATGACAGTGTCTGTTTCTTCTCTCCTCTCCCCGCCCCCACTGGGCTGTCCAAACAAAGCATGCCCTTGCTTCTCCAGAAGACAGATGCGGACCTGCGGGTGGGAGGGCCGAGGAACCTTCCAACCTGTGAGCCAGGAGCCCTCGCAGACGATTCTGGAGGGCAAGTGCAGGACGAGTGAGAGGAAGTCAGCGATTCGCGGGGAGGGGTCAGGAGCACCAGGGGATGTGCGGCTTCCACAAGAGTTTGTGCTCAGATGGGGTTTGCGGTCCTGGGGCCAGCCTACGACAGTCCCCACCGATCACAGCGGGCAGAAAGCCACCACGTGGCGGCCCCACAAACATCCCTCTTGCTGCTCGGGCTGCCTGTGGGCTGCCGGCCGAGCCAGGCTCTGCACGGGGCACAGCAGGTAGTCCTGTGCCCGGGACGGGGGCGAGCGTAGCAGAGAGGCCAGTGGGGCCAGACTTTGGAGGCCGCCTGGGCCGTGTTAAGGAGCTTAGGGGTCATCTAGGGAGGGAGGAGAGGGGTTTGAGTCATGGAGGCAGGGTCCACTTTGTGGGTTGCCAGGATCTTTGGGGCAGCTGTGGGGTGGGGGCGGGGAAGTGGACCAGGGCAGCAGGGATTCATTTGTGATGCTTCGTGCCGATGGGGGGGACACAGCCTTGCCGTCACCGAGCGGCCTGGCTGCAGGGCCGTCGGGATGCTCATTCCGGGCCCTCGGCTCCCTCCTGGGACTCGGCTCCGTGGAACTCAGGACCCGCACGGTAAGGGCCCGGTGGGGAGACCGAAGGCCTAGGGAACGGGGACAGGAAGTGCTTTAAGCCATCACACAGGGGCCCTGGTCAGATCACTAACCACCGTGGTGGAGACGCGGCGTGCTTCCTGGGTGCCAGCCTGGTCGAGGCACGGGGCTCGGTTGGCACGCCAGACCGGGGCAGAGCCCTGCACACGGCGCAGCGCTGTACCCAGGCCAGGCTGCGCGTTACCGACCAGACGCCTTTCTCTCGATCGCAGATCCCTCAGCCACGTCGCCGGCATCGCTAGCAGCCTGAGAGCCGGCTGGGAGCCTCGGGACGCCAGCCCTGCTCCCGGCTCGCCCACAAGATGTGGACGGCCCTGGTGCTCGCCTGCATTTCCTCCCTGTCCTTCTCCGAGAGCCGGGTGGCACTCCGGGGTCCAGGTGGGTGAGGACGCTGGGAGATTGCTGCCCAAGCCCAGCGCACCCTGAGCCCGAGGGGTGTCTGCACGCCCCGGCGGAGAGCGGGGACCCCCAGCTTCAGGGGGCCAGGCTGGGCGGGGCTGTTGGACGGAGCTTCTCCAGGCCCCGTGAGGGGAGGGGGGCCGGGCCCCGGGGCCCTGAGCGGGTCTCTGGCTTGACCCTGCCAGACCTCCCTACTTCAGAAGCCTGGCTTTGCTGGGAGTTTGTCCATTCAGACCTCAGACACTTGGTGGCTGCCACTCTGACAGCGCCCCCCCCCCCCGCTCCCGGCCCCTGGCATCCCGCTGCAGAGCCTTCAGGAAGCCGAGAGGTCCCTGGTGGGAACACCGGGCGGCGGGTTATCTGCTCTGCAGCCACGCGGTGTGTTTGAGTTTAATGAGGAGTCACACCTGTGCTGTGAGACGCTCCCTGTCTGCTGTTTTGGGGATTGGATCCAAGAGTGCAGCTCTTAAGCCTTCCATGGGCTTGGGGTTCAGAGAGGGCAGAGCAGGTTTTTTTGTTGTTGTTGTTGGGTTTTTAAAAATATTTTATTGATTTTTACAGAGAGGAAGGGAGAGGGATAGAGAGTTAGAAACATCAATGAGAGAGAAACATCAATCAGCTGCCTCCTGAACACCCCCTACCAGGGATGTGCCTGCAACCAAGGTACATGCCCTTGACTGGAATCGAACCTGGGACCTTTCAGTCCGCAGGCTGATGCTCTATCCACTGAGCCAAACCGGTTAGGACGGCAGAGCAGCTTTAAGACCAATGTGCCAGCTGCCCCTGGGGTGGGCAGTGGGCCAGGCGTGGCAGTGAGGTGCTGGGGGCGCGGCGCACACCCCTCCCCGGTCTCTCTGGGCCCAGGACAGGCCAGCGAGGCCGCCAGCCGCCCCTGACCCTGCCTTTCTCTCTCCTTTCTGACCTGAAGTGCCCGTGGTCTTCAACCAGACGCAGGCTGACTTGGTCACAAAAAACACATCCAGGGAAACGACTGGCAGCATCTTGAACAAAACCTCAGAGGCCATGACGGCGCCCTCTCCTGTCACGGCGGCCAGAGAGACTTTGGGAGCCAACCACAGCTCCCCTGCAGCCACAACAGGGAGCACTCCCGGCACCTCAGCAGCTGCCGCGGGTCCCGCCAACCTCACGGACTCCAGGGTGCCCACGCCGACGTCCACACGGCCGCCCCCGGCGTCCACGGCCGCTCCCAGCACGCCCCACACCCAGGCACCCAGCAACGGTACGTTGCCAACCGCAGCACCTCGGACCACGCTGGCCACCAGCACGCAGACTGCTGCCGCCACGGCAAGTGCAGGAGGCGCCCGGGGCTCACAGAGTCCCGCTGAGCACACCCCCCACCACTCCACAGCCGGCCCCGTGCTCCCCACCACCAGCCCCATGCTCCCCACCGCCGGCCCCACGCTCCCCACAGCCAGCCCCGTGCTCCCCACAGCCGGCCCCACACTCCCCACTGCCAGCCCCACACTCCCCACTGCCAGCCCCGTGCTCCCCACCACCGGCCCCACACTCCCCACCGCCAGCCCCATGCTCCCCACCGCCAGCCCGGAGCTCCCCACCAGTCCCCACTCGCTCCCCACGAGTTCCCACTCACTTAACACATCCACACAAGGTCCCACCACCCAGCCGTCGACTGCCCAACCCGTGGCAGACACAACAAGTAGCCCCACCCCGCCCCTGGAGAACACAACCCCAGAGCCCACCCCCTCCGTGGCTTCCGTGTCCACCACCGCGGTGACCGCTGAGGGGCCAGCTGCCAGCACGGTGCCAGCTCCTGTGCCACCTGGGGTGGAGGCCACGTCCCCCACAACACTGCCAAGCACTGTTTCATCCACATGGGGGGCCACGGGGGCCGCCACACCCTCCACACCGGAGCAGGTGCGGCCTGAGGCCACAGGGGGCACTGCTTCCACCGGGCCCACCCCCGGGAGCTCAGGGGACCCTAAGGTGCCAACCACGGACTCGTGCCAGCTCAGCACCCAGGGCCAGTACGTGGCGGTCACCACCAGGGTCCTGCCCCTGTCCCCGGTGAACAGAGGGGCGCTGCTGGCCATGCTCCTGCTGGGGGTGGCCCTGCTCTTCGCGGTCGTGGTCCAGTTTGCGCTGCAGGCCTACGAGAACTACAAGAAGAAGGACTACACGCAGGTGGACTACCTGATCAACGGGATGTACGCGGACTCCGAAATGTGAGCGGCCGAGGCCGGCCTTCGGCTCCAGCGGGACCTCGGGGGCTGGGCCCTCCCCTCCTTCCCTCTTCCCTCTGAGACCAAACCAAGTGCTTCCAAACCCTTCGGTGCAATTCAGGAGGTCCGCCAGGCGTTCCAACACATTCACTACGGTCACGTCACTAAAAGGCTGCTGCTTTCTTTTCATACTCATTTTTGTAAATGATCGATCGTGTCGATGGAACAGGCAGTGATTGGGGTGGGTGACCTGAGGTGGGGTGGGGCGGGAGGGGGGGCTGGTGCCAGACCCTGGCAGGAATGAAAGCAATGATCGCTTTCCCTTCAGAGCTGCCTGTTCAGACGGTGTTTCCCACTGATGTGGCCCAACCGCCAAGGGGCGCTTCGCAGGTACAGGAGGCCCTGGACTCTGCTGTGCCCGGCTGCTCCCTCAGGCTTCGCTCTTGTGCCCAGTCCCGCCCACACTCAGCGGGAGGGGTCTTTGGTGCCATGTGGAGTCTGCCCTTTTCATCCCCCTCCCCCTGGACCATCAGGCGGTGAGCCATGTGGAGTTTGATTTGGGCATGAAATTGCACCACCGTGTGGCCCGCACCTGCGCCACACGCTGTAGCCAGGTGAGTGGGGACCTGCTGAGCCCCCAGGTGCAGTGGCCCTGCATGGGGCACTCCCTTCAGGTGGTCATTAGCACCTCGACCCAGGTCACCTGGAACCTGGGAGCTCCGGGCCCCAGAGAGTGCAGGCCTGCTCCCCTCGGCAGGACAATTGCCCGGGTTCCTGGCTCCTCCTTCCCGACACCAGTGGCCCTCAGAGCCGCAAGGTGTCCTTGTGCACTGGCTGTCGTCCTGCTTAACGCAGGGAATGCACTGTACTCCCCCGAACCCGGGAGATCAGCTTCCCTCCCCGTTTTATTTATTTTTTAATTATTTTTATTGATTTCAGAGAGGAAGGGAGAGAGAGAGAAACATCAATGGTGAGAAAGAATCATTGATCGGCTGCCTCTTACACATCCCCTCCTGGGGATTGAGCCTGAAATCCGGGCATATGCGCTTGACTGGAATCGAACCCGTAATCCCTCAGTCCACAGGCCAACATCTATCCACTGAGCCAAACTGGCTAGAGCTTCCCTCCCATTTTAAAGACATGTCCACTGCGGCACAGAGGGACAACCCACCACTGGGGCCGCAGCCGGTAAGCCCGGCTCTCTAACCGGAGTTGACCCTTGGACAACGCCGGGAGGGCTGAAGGCACCAGGCACATCCCACGTCACTGCACGTGGCCCCCGCACGCGACTCCCAGGGCGAGTGCGCGCTCAGTGAGCGGGCCTTTCTCTGCCCGAGGCGAGAGCGGACGGGCAGCACGCAGGGCTGGGCACCCAGGCCGGGCCTGCAGCTGCTGCTCCCCGCCCAGAGCAAGCGTGGCATGTGCTGGAGCTCGGCTGCCTCACCGACACGGGGAAACGGAACAGCGTCCGTCATGGACCTGGGGACGGAGGAGGGGCGGCCACTCCTGCTCTTCCCCAGAAGCCCGAGGATGAGACGGATTCCGTCTGACCCCAGGTCCCCCTCACGGGGGTCCCCTGAGCCAGGCCTGGGTAACAATTCCTCTCATTTAAGTTCTCCCTCCTCCACAAAGGGGTTTCAGAAGGCCCAGGATAGAGACCAGGAGAGGAACTCCCAGGTGGATTGAGATGATGTAAGAGCCAGCGATGGAGAGGACACAGGTGGGGAGAAGCGGTCAGAACTTCCACGCCGCCCTCGCCAGTCCTCGGCCCGTCTGGCTGGCCCACAGGCCCGGGCCCCTCCCCCTCTCCGGCCTCCGCTGGCGGAGCCGAGCTGTGAGCAGCGGCTGAACCCAGCAGCCCGTGTGCCCTGCTCCCTTCCCCGCACACCTGAGCCGTCTGCACCGGGGATGGCAGGTGCTGCGTTTGCACTGGCCTGGCCGGTAAGGCGGTGTCCAGGCCGCCCTGGTCATCCTGTGTCCTGAGCTCCAGGCCCGCTGGCGTTGCTCCCCACAGCAGCTCTGGGAAGGGCGAGCTCCACCCCTCACTGTTGAGTTTCACCTGGAGCTGGAGCCTCAACCCACGTGAGCCCTGAACCCACGTGAGCCCTGACCCCACGTGAGCTCTGAACTCGTGTGAGCTCTGAACCCGTGTGAGCCCCGAATCCACGTGAGCCCCAAACCCACGTGTGCCCCGAACCCACGTGAGTTCTGAACCCACGTGAGTTCTGAACCCACATGAGCCCCAAATCCACGTGAGCCCCGAACCCACGTGAGCCCTGAACCCACGTGAGCCCTGAACCCGTGTGAGCCCCGAACCCACGTGAGCCCCGAACCCACGTGAGCCCTGAACCCACGTGAGCCCCAAACTCACGTGAGCCTCGAACCCAGGTGAGCTCTGAACCCACGTGAGCCCCAAACTCACGTGAGCCTCGAACCCATGTGAGCCCTGAACCCACGTGAGCTCTGAACCCACGTGAGCCCCAAACTCACATGAGCCTCGAACCCAGGTGATCCCTGAACCCACGTGAGCCCCGAACCCACGTGAGTTCTGAACCCACATGAGCCCCGAATCCACATGAGCCCCGAATCCACGTGAGCCCCGAATCCACCAGAGCCTCGAACCCACATGAGTCCCAACCCCACGTGAGCCCCAAACTCACGTGAACCCCGAACCCACGTGAGCCAGGGCGGGGCGCAGAGGGCGTTCTCACAGACCAGGTGCCCTGTTCCTTTTGGGCAGGTAGGACAAGGGGGCCACCGGACTGGCTCAGCTTGTGGTCAGGGCCTCTGCCTGGTACCCCTACATCCTAGGAATCGGGGCATGGGATGGCACAAGGCCTGCCTGTCCCTCAGCCCCACAGGGACTCCCCGTGCATCATTGCTCACCTGAGTGGAAACCTGTGCTTCGTCCCTGAGTCCGACGGACCATCCTAAACATTCCTACGAGCAAGGCATCCTCCTGCCCGGGACCTGTTGCTGCCCGCTGGCGCCAGTCCAACCCAGCGCCCTCCACCGGCAGCCAGGGACCCCTCCACATGCAAACCTGCGATTTTCCTGGCCAGTAGCCTGTCCCGGGAAATGAGTCAAGCTGTGCCCACATGCCAGGCCAGGGCAGATTAGCTGACCAATCATTGGTCAGCTGCATTCCAGGGGGTCCCTGTGAATGGAGCATGAGGGCCAGAGCTGGGCTCCAGACAGCCTCAGAGCCCCTCCACCAGGCTGTCCAAATCTGGGACCACAGGTCCAAGCCTGGGGCTGGCCCCTGCCTTGGAGGCCACCAGACTGTAGTGACCAGGCAGCCCTTCCTGGCCTGCGGGAAAGTCCTGTTTAGCATTAGCTCATCGGGCACTTAGCGCCCACTGTTTGCTACCCCAGTGGGGATTGGGAGAGGAAGCTGCCCACCCTGCCCCGGAGCACACGGAGTAACGGGTGGGGCACCAGGAAGATGAGAAGAAGAGGTGGGCGCACAGAGGAGGCACCAGGCCCTACTGGGAGCTCAGGCAGGCCGCCGGGCAGAGCGGACTCAGAGCCCCTCTTCCCGGCCTGTTGCCATGCCACTTCAGTGCCCAGAGCAAGCCTGGCACCCGGGAGGTGGGGGTCTACTGGATGCATCCCAGTCCACACAAAGGCCACGGTGGAAGTGAGAGGCCGGCGTGGCCCCAAGGGGGCGCTCTTCCCTTCACAGTGAGGAAACTGAGGCAGGGGAAGGCCAAGTCGCTGCCCAGGGTCATCCTCCACTTGGCAGGACAGGATGCACTCCAGGTCTGTCTGTCAGTCTGTCTCCACGGTGGCACAGACAGCCTGGGGACATGAAGATGCCTTTTCTGGGGCCACACCCACACTGGGTGCCCAGCAGGCAGGGCCGTTTCCCCTGGGACAGCCAGCAGCGCCCCTCTGCAGCCTACTCCCTCCAGCAAAGTGCAAGGGCTCCACCTGGTGGGCGAGGTTCCTTCCAGCATTCTCTTACCGTGGGTACTGCCAGAGCCAGAGCCAGTTCTTGGGGGACTCCCTCCAGCCCAGCTCCCCTGGCACCAGAAGGCCTCCCTCCCTCCCCCCCTTGATTCCCAAGCTTCCGGAACCTCTCAGGGCTCCCAGGCCAGGGCTGTCCTGAGACAGCGTTCTCAGGGAACGAGGGATACAGATCCTGTGGGAGCCTGTGCCTGGGATGAGGCTGGCCTAAGATCTGGTACAACCAGTTCTGCCATCCGAGGTGTATCAGAAGAGATCTCTATGCTTAACCCCAACAACTATTCCTTAACCAAGATGTTCAGGTGAGGTACCAGACCGTCCCCGGGTTCAGACTACCTTTTGGGGGAGAACTGACCTCACATGACTCAGACCTCCACCGGGGCTCACACCTACATCCGGGACCCAGAGTATCACGGCGGGGCCGAGAAGATAATCCCAAGGTCCCGGCCTCAAGAACAGAATCCAGACTTGTATCCTGGGTGTACTTCTCAATTTGTATCCCAGACCACCATTTCCATAACCCAGAGGTCCAGGTGAGGTACCAACCGCCCCCCAGGGGCCCAGAAGTCCCTCCACGGCCAGAAAGGTTCTCCCCGGACCCAGACCTCCATCGGCGACCCAGACCTACTCCTGGTCGCAGACCAGAAGGCCTTTTCGGGTAACCATACTGGAAGCCAGTGCCTATAAGTTAATTAGAGGCCAAATAACCAGGCTAGGCCTGACCACCATTTCATCATCCCGAGTCCTGCCCTTACCCCAAACCTCCCACCTGGGCCCATAGCGCCCCCTATTGACCGCACCATGCCTGAGCACCCAGACCTCCATCCGGGTCCCAGACCTTCATGGAGGGTCCTAGTTGGCCCAACAGGGACCCAGGCCACAATCCTGGGACACAGAGTTGTACCAGGGGACGAGATCTCTTATGCTTTACCCAAACAACTATTCCATACCCCAGATGGTGAGGTGAGGTATCAGACTTTCCTCCGGGCCTCACCTGTCCTCACAGGACCCAGACCTCACCTGGGGCTCACATGTACA